ATACGTGGTATTTTGAATCCATCATCAATTGAAGCAAAATACATTTTTATACAGGAACTGCCTTTTTGTCCGGTACACTAACTTTACAAGTTGGGTAATACACGTCATCAGCTGGTTTTCATACTGCGGTCACTCGCTTGGAGCATGCACGCACAGAAGACAAACACAAGACCACTTCTTCAAGCCTCTGGCACCCGCAGATGACTGCGGGCAGTTGAACATGGTATTTCATAATGTGACATTCTTGAGACCAAAATTTCTACGATCGTCAGCCTTGGTTCGTTTGCGTGATTCCGTGGGTCTTGCTGGCAGCGGCTAGGATAAATTGATATGTTTCCACTCGTCAAAAATGTGCTGGTAATAACAAGCAGGCAGCCTAGCTGTCATGCGTATCATCTATTTTATTTAGAGTAGATCATAAAAATGGCCTTGCTTGACCAAGGCTGGGGAAGATGGCACAAAATTTTGATACGCTAAACTGCTACATGATGTCATTCACCGGAGAGCGCACAAAAAGGCCGGCGCTAATGGAAAACCAATAATATGCTGTAACGAATTCACAGCATTGTGGTTTTTGTGTGAAACAGGAAATCCCGTGCACCACAATCTACACCAGAGGCAGAAGTAGGAACAAGTATGGCAGCACGCTTCTCTAAAGGTGGATTTATGGGGTTAAGACACATACGCGTTTTATGCACTACACAAACGGGTGAGATTGAAGAACTGGTGCTGGATGGCGAAAAGCGATTAATTTGTGCCTGAGGGACGCCGGTAGACTGCGTGCTACTGGATGACCAAACTTTTGTGACAACGACAGCACAGTGTTCCTATTTGTAAAACATCAACGGTGGTCTGGATATCGCTGAACAAGAGAAGATTCAACATCACCTTGCACAGAAAATGAATGATTGCTTCCATCTTAAGGGCAGTAGAGTACTCAAAAATTTTCCACAAATTGTGAAATTTCCCCGCTCACACAAATTTTTGGTCAAGATTTAGGTACTTTCGAGGAGTCTTTATGAGGCTGATGAGTTACTAAGTTTTGTTTTTTAATCCAACCAGATTCATTTCTGAATGCTTTAAAGTGGCAGCGCTCACTTCGGTCGTAAGAAATTTTCTAAGTTCCTTGCAATGAAATTTGGGCATGGAGTAAAACAATTCTTGGAATGTTGCATAAGCAGACATTTACAAGGAGCGAATTTCGTTCAAATGGCGATATTTCGGACTGCCCATTGGACTACTCCAAAATACGAAGGCTTCTATTTGTGGTTAAGTTTTGCTTGTGGTGGACGGCGAGGTAGAGCGTAAGTTCCTGTATGCTTCCGAAAACCACTAGATTCCCGAGCAATATTTGGAGGATTTTTGCCGACTATTGATTTCTCGTGGGTTCCCAACCTCATAAAGACAATCCATTTTAGTGAATTTATATATCAGCAGTCATCAAATCGGTGCAATGGATCCAATCTGTCTCATCGAGATGTCTGTCCAAGTGGGCACAGCACTCTGGGCAAAATTCAAAACTGGAAGTGCGCTAGAGGTCAATTTAAGATGAACAGTACCACTGGCATCTTTATCTTGCGTCCCCCGCAAGTGGAAAAAGCGAAGTGCAAGCAGAACTAAGAAATTCGTAATTGGCATAGGCGGATATACTGAAGAGGGCGCAGAGCTTCAATCGGTGTCACCTATCGAACCGTCGTCGGATAGGCATCATGTCTGGAGTGATAAAAACCTTGTATGCTATATAGGTTTGTCACAGGCAGGCGTGAAAAGAGGGCTAATGAAAGGTTAGCTTATAATAATAATAATATTTATTCCCAACTAGTGGGTAGCATACCGTCGGGCATGATCATAGCATTACAGTCAGAATAAAGGCGTGACTGGTGGGGTTTGTGTTTAATGGGAAAAGGGAAAGTGACGTAAACAGTAAACCTTATTGGAGTAGAGTTTATCACACCTGAGGTGGCATGGGTAGGAATCCAAAATTACAAGGTCTCTTTATGTCCTATGGAGAGCATATCAGATGGCACGAGATCTGAACGTTGAGGTTTAAAAGTGGCGGGCAAAGAAAACAATACAAGTGAGGGCATAACAAAGAGCTTCCAGACTGGAACGTGAGAAAAACAAAAAAACTTCAAACTACAGGAAGTGTAGGGCCGGAATAATGGATATGGAGATGCAGCAGAGCTGCCACGACATGGCAGGCCGGTTTGAACTAAAGTCCGGAACCGTCACTAGGGCTTCATGGCCTTGGGCTATGGCGGATGGCCACGGAAAGGTATGTGGGGGTGGTGTAGTGGGGTAAAAATGTATTACGGACAAACGGTAGCAGGAAACGCAGAAGTACAGTGTGCAGTGAAGCGACTCACTAGTGTTGCAGATGAAGCAGGGTCGAGTGTAAAAGTTTCTTGGGAAACGAGTTCACGCAAGCTGAGCATTAATTGACTCATTCGGTGAGGAGTACGAATAAAAGCCGTCGAGATCTTTGCATCTGGCAGAAGGTTCGGCAGATCGAAATGAACGCCTTTCCACCAAGGATGGCAGACATGCATTGATGAGCCACTTTATTACGACGAAGCGACAGTCCAAAAAGTTAAAAAGAGCCCGTTCCTTTGTATTGCTACCAGCGGTAGCGACCGAGCTTGCGAATAAGCCTTAGGGTGCGTGATGCCTAAACTTCAAAGAAGTTTATTGTGTATGGTGAAGACAACCCGCGTGCATTTTTGGGACCTGTGTAGTGATACTTTTGAACATAGAGCACTTTTTAGCTTGGTTCCTGGTTGGCCGAAATAGTGAGTCACTTTATTTCAACCAACACGCTCAATTAGGGTGATTTGAGGCTGAGTGAAGTTTATTGTTGGTAAACGGAAGCTATAACTCGTACGTCTGTTAAGCTGAGCGCAGCACAAGAATTGACTGCAAGTCTGCTATACAGCCAAAACTTGTGTCGGATAAGTCGGGCAAGGCCCCACTGATGATGGCCCCACCCAAGCACGGAAGTAAAGAGGGTGCCACAGGTTTTGAATTCCCAGTGACAGCCTGCTGTATAAAGAGCCACTTGACAGTTTGTGTCAAAGGTATTGATCGCTTTCGATGCTTGGTGGAAAATTGTTTATGAAAGTCTTAAAGTCTGGCCCAAAACGTGGGTCGTGTTAAGTGCAAAATGACTGGGTCTTCCTCACCCTCAACTGGCCGGTGAATACGTGTCTAATATGCTGAAAAACCTGTGCGGATTGTCGGGACATTTTATTATTCCTAAAACACCCCGAGCTCTAAACTCAAACGTTTACACAATAAACCGGGCCATTGGGTCAAAATTCGGAGTTTAATGTGCATGAAGCTGTGGTGAGTATTAAACGAGCGGCATGGTCCATAAAGTTGGTGTATGTGTGTTGGCGTCAAAAGTACGTGAAGCGTTAAAGTACAAAATACCCCTGAGGGAAAAGCACGACACGGGAGCGAGGTTGGACACACAACAATGGCGAAACAGTAGCCAAATGAACGGCGAAGGCATCAGGGCATGTTTCGAACTCCATAGATGTGGATTCCCTCTCACACAACAAGCATCACAAGAAGCACGCTTCTAGAAGGAAAAAAGTACGCCTTGGGTATGAAATAATATGTTCCATTCGTTTCCTTCACTCAAAGCCCTTATGTACCTAAAAAACACGAGGGCATTCATCCCCATCAATCAGTCTTAAATGTCCATAAATCAGGCCACTTGAAACAAGGTGCAACCTCGAGGAATCTTTGGTTTATAAACTGTTCACCACTTGATATAAATACAGTCTGACCAGTGCACCGAGTTTGTTTTGCACATATTTTATATGACCTCTTATCCTACTTTCAAGCTATCCTTGCTCTGTTTGTAGAGGCAGATGCCGTCATACAGCTGCAGCCCCATAAGGGCGAGCTGAAGTACAGCGGTGTCCACATGGTTGCTCCAGCTTTTCCCGTTTTCCATAACTTCCCGCACTTCAACCAGAGTGGTTACCTTGCGTTTAAATAACCAACCTAACTATCTTTCACGCAGATTTCATGAACTCCGCCAGATTGAATAAAACCGACAGCACCCTCCCAGAGATTTCAGAGCACTTCGACAGGATCAATCTCGTCAGCTTCGTCTTGTGATGGAAAAGGTTTGTACCGGGGTCTTCTGCACCGTTAGTTGTTATATTTTCCAGGGACTGGACAGCTGAATTTCGTGTCTGCGGCTATTGACGATTTCCTCGAAATCATACAAAATTTTGCATCGTTTTATTAAAGGAATGCTCCAAGCCACCGGCTGACATTAAAATACGAATTCCGCGCGCACAGTGGACTGTGAGTTCGTTTAAACAACTCCTAATAAAATTGCGACTGCGTGAGGAGAACTTTACCGTTTGAATAATTATCATCAAATGCTAAAACATTATGTTAAAGTTTCCCTTTTTTGAACCACGCGCGGTGCGTTCGAAATCGGTTTCGTTGCGTGAGGAGTTACCGTTTGAATAATTATCATCAAATGCTAAAACATTATGTTAAAGTTTCCCTTTTTTGAACCACGCGCGGTGCGTTCGTTCGAGGTTTCGTTTTTCCCTCGTGCAAATTCGTGGAATTTTTTTCGTTGTTCAATCTATTCACAGAGTACATACGAGTAATTGTTGAATTTTATTACTCTAACAAAACATTTGAGTGATAACCCTTTATATTTTGCGCACACATATTTTACATTAGTCCGAAACATGACGTCAATTCATACCGATTGCCCTCCGCAGCCATTGCTAGACCACAATAGATGTGGGCGAAATGGCTGCCCGTCCAACTTCAAACGCGGTATGCAATGCCACGACTGCAAGGCCTGGTGGCATTTCAAGTGCACGGGTTTACAGGACGACCAGATAAGATGACTAGCCAACTCTCCTGACCCGTTTGTCTGTGCCAGCTGCCTCTACGTCAAGGGTGCAATGCATACCGCAGCAAAGAGAAGAGTCCCCCGAAACGGTACCCAATCCTCAGTGCAGATGCCGAAAGACCACTGCCAGTGTTCCGCTTTAATCGGGATATTCGACGCGAAATTAGAGCGTCTTTTGAAGGCATTGGAGGACTCGGGCGCCAAGAATGCAGCGACCTGGGCGAAAGTCGACAAGGGACATTCCTCGCTGAACCAAAACCTCGCGATGTCCATACCGGGTCCCATGGCTGCGAAGAAAGTCGTACAACTTTCTGACGCGGCTATAAAAGCCGCCACAGCGTCTCTAGTGGACAGACGACTAAAAGAAAACAGGCTGATAAACTGGGGGTCGTTCTCCGGAAAAATCACACGAGCGAAGCTGGCAAGCCTGATAAATCGCTCCACGCAGGATGGCTACGCCAAAAGGGAAGTAAGTGAACCCTTGGACTTCTAGTCACACTTTCTCCCCCGTCCGACGTACAGGAAATCTTGGAGCGGGCTGGCAGCATTCAAAAGGCCAACCCAATGATCAGGCGCCTATCTGAGGATCGTCCTCTAGACGCGCGCAAGATTGGTCACAACAGGTCAGGAGTGGAAGCACGAAACAGGCTTCCACCGGGCACTAAACCAGACGACCCCAAACTCATGACCAAGCCGATTGTGGTCATATCCCCCTGTGCTCCCGAAAGCAGGCCGATGAAACCAGCTGGTTCTCCGGACAGCAGTTTTTATTCGACCACCACAGGCCTCTCGCCCACCAAAGGCAGGGACGCCCTGGAGGAGACAAATCCCACATGCAAGCAGCGCCCAAACTACGTGGAGCTATCAACGCTTATCTCCGTATCAGAGGGCACAGCTGCAGCCGCGCACTCGTCAACAAAGTCACAGCCCCTGAACTGGACTGAGTCAGATGTGCGGGGACAAGGAGCGAAGCCAATCTCTAGCTCCACTCCGTCAAAAGCTGCATCCCTGCTTGTGGACCCAACTGTCGCCCAGTACCCCGACACCCAAAGCCACAAACATGACTACAGCCATCCGGAAAATCCCTCGTACATCCAGTTGTCCACGCTGATCGCTGGCGGATCGGGTGTGCACACAAACACGGAAGAAGAGCGACTGCAGCCAAAAAAGCCATATAAAACTCGCCATATTAGAAAACTGCTGGCTGGCTTCAAGGTGCAGTCCTCCGCGAAAACGAGCCTCTTGGGAGCACCACCAAAATCATTACTTCTTGGTGCCACCACCCAGCGCTCATGGCCTCGCAGAGACACTCTTCCGGTTAAACCACTCCAAAACGCCCAAGGATCCAGAAAGGCGAAAGCTTGCAGCAAACCTTTGATCAACAGCAAATCTGGTCGACGAAAAAGGGATGCTGAAAGAGCTACGGACAGCATCGGTCAAACTTTTCGCACATGGGGAAAAATCTCCGTCCCCCAGAGCCAAAAAGCCAGAGCAAACCGAGCTCTCACGGAACGAAAAAACCCCGCACTCAAAAAGTACCCCCAGAAACCACAATGGCCGGAAGCAGACATCGCCCCAGGGGCTCCTTGGAGCCTTGGAATCAGACTCAAACCTGGTGCACAACTGTTAAGTCTGCTAACCAGCCTGGTCACTCATTTTCCGGCTCCCCACCCTCGCAGGAAGCAGAGGCAGTGTTGAAATGCTTGTACACAAACTGCCTCAGCCTTCTCAACAAACTCGGCGATGTCAAACATTCAGCTTGCCTTTAACAAACGTCAATAATGCACTCACAGAGACCTGGCTCACACCAGATCAATAATGCACAGAGACCTGGCTCACACCAGATGTCTCTGACGCGGAGATCTCGATGGACGGTTACTCCATTATTCGAGCTGACTCAGACAGAACGAGGGCTGTTGGGGTTGCTCTGTACTTAAATGCGGCCCTACCAATCCCGATTGTCCTCTCTGACACCACCCCTGCACCCTTCTGCGATGCATTGTG